CCAGGCTATTTATCTGTAACTCCATTATGTTTTCAAGATTTGGATCATTTTTACTATCATTATGCTGAATTCTTTTTCAGGTAAACTTCCTATCTCCTCCTCTTTTGTTTAGTTTGGTGGGCACTTATCATGTTCCTTTACCTGCTGAGTATTTCTCTGCTTTTTCATCTCATTTAGATTGCAGTGTTTGGGGTGGCCATTCTGTATTCTGGGTTTGTGGATCCTCTTTATTGTGGAGGTTCCTCCATGTGGGTGGGGTTGGATGAGGGTCTTGTCTAGGTTTCCTGGTTAGGGAAGCTTGCATTGGTATTCTGGTGGGTGGAGCTGGATTTCTTTTCTCTGGAGTGTGATGAAGTGTCCAGTATTGTGTTTTGAGATGCCTATGGGTTTGGTGTGGGCCTTCCCTGGTGGTGCAGATGGTAAAAGCATCTGCCTCCAATGCGGGAGACCCGGGTTAGATCCCTGGGTTGGGAAGATCCCCTGGAGAAGGAAATGGCAACCCACTCCAGTATTCTCGCCTGGAAAATCCCATGGACGGAGGAGCCTGGCAGGCTACAGTCCATGAGGTCACATAGAGTCGGGCGCAACTGAACGACTTCACTTCTTCACTTCTTCTTCATGGGTTTGGTGTGACTTTGGGCAGCCTGTTTATCAAAGCTCAGGGCTACGTTCCTGCATTGCTGGAGAATTGGCGTGGTAGGTCTTGCTCTGGAACTTGTTGGCTCTTGCATGTATCTTGGTTTCAGTGTAGGTATAGAGGCTTTTGTATGAGCTCTTATCAATTACTATTCCCTGGAGTCAGGAGTTTTCTCAGGTGTTCTCAGGTTTTGGATTTAAGCCTCTTGCCTCTGGTTTTTAGTCTTATTCTTACGGTAGCCTCAAGACTTCTCCATCCATACAGCACTGATGATAAATCTTTCGCAGAAAATGGGCTGCCTTTCTGGGTGCCTGGTGTCCTCTGCCAGCGTTCAGAAGTTGTTTGGTGGAGTTTGCTCAGCATTCAAATGATCTTTCAATGAATTTGTGGGGGAGAAAGTTGTCTCCCCATCCTATTACTCCACTATCTTAGGACCGCCCTTCCTGAGACTTGACTTTCAAGGAGGAATTTTGTTACATATTATCTCAAGGAGCCCATTACTACATACAGTAAAGGTAATAATAATTATATATGTTTGTTCATGTAATTATATTAAGCCTTTAATAATAAAACTGTATTCAAAGTAATAATATATATTTATAAATTTATATGTATTGTCAACTAAAAAATTAGTTTTAACCTGAAAGTAAAGTATTTTATTTGGTGAGAATGTTAAGGTCTCTGAACCCAGGAGAGACCATCTCAATAGCCATGAGAAACTGCTCCAAGGAGGCAGGAGAGGGCAGTCAGGTTATATACAGGTTTGCAACAAAGGGAGCAGACATTTTGAATGTCAAAGATTATTGTTAAGTAAGGAAAACCAGATACCAGGTTAAGGAATTTTAGTGTTCTTTTTTGTAAGGGAAAATGCAAACTTCTGGGCTCACTGATACATTGCTTTCATATGCACCTCAGCTATTCGGGTGAGAGGCAGGGCACGAATCCTGTTTCTTGATTGTTTATGTCCTTGATTCCATGTTCACCATAAGGGGTGGCAGATGGGGTGGATGGCTGTTTCTTGCATCTCCCTCCCCCTGCTCCTCAGCAATCACCATGGCGGGTGGCAGCATCTGCTGGATTGCAGGCATTGTGTTCCCTTTGGGAGGCTTCATTCACGTTTGGTGGGCCAAACTCGCAGATAGCTGTGACATTTCTTGCTAACTAATATGGCAGGAGATACTTCATATCACAATATCCAATCAAATAAGTTTAACCTTAAAGTCCTATCTCTTTCTGGACTTGGATTGGTTTTACATTTTACAATCAGAATAAATTCCAAATTAGATTTCAAATTAGAATCACACTTAGATTCTGATTTTAAATTGTACTAGAATTTTATATTTGCAATACTTTTTAGTAATGTCTTTTGGAATATATGTATTGAGTATTCTCTGAGTATAGTATCTAATGTGACATAAGTTGATTATTTCAACTTTGTCACTCAAGCATTTAAAATAATATTACAACATCATTATGTTTTTCCTTCATTTTGTTTTAATTGAAGAAATGAATGATTTGCAATACAGGCGTACCTTTGACTTTTAACATTGGTAAAGTTATTTGTTATTCAAGCAGTAAACTAGTCTCTTCAAATCTTTATGCCCATGGCTACATGTCCAAAGTGAAATCTAATCTAGGAGCTAAATTAGTTGTTTCAAGTTAAAGTAGCTTTGTTCTTTCATTGCATGATCCTTGCAGAGTTCCCCTCTCAAATAACACAATAGGAGGTCCCATTATATGGACAATTTCCTTTTTGAGCAATGCCCTAGGCATTGGCTAATTGATCATAAGATAAAGATCTACATTATGAACACTACATAAATCTTTTGTGTAATATTTTACAAATTATATTTCCATACTTTATCTTTGAGCACCCTACAGATATTTTTCAAAACACTTAACCTCCCCTATATTTCCAGGGATCTAAAGTATATAAAGGCTTCTCTGTTGGATTTCCACTATGCAATTCTCATTTAAAAATATTTTCCAGTCCTTGTTTTGATTTATTTCAAGTCACCTATGTATCAAATGACAAACCAGTTGGTTGCTGACCTTTAAAACTTCCCAGAGTTTTGAGAGAAAACCATAGGAAACCTGTCTAAAATACTGCTCATTTTATTATAAACCTGCAGCAGTTTTCTTTTGCAAACAATTTGTAAGACTACAAGCATTTTCAAAGACATTATGTACCTGGAATACATACTGTTTTGTTAGGATATATACCATTTTATATGCTGCATACTCTGTCTTTCCTTTTCTGTGACTACTTTATCTATGTACCTCTATATACTTGAAAAGATTAAAAAAAAAAGCAGCATTATGCATTGATAAACTATATTAAAATAAAACCAAAAATATATGACATCTTAAACTTATAAAAGTATTTTTTTAGAAAACAAAATGAAGAAGTTGACCTCCAGAATGATGAAATTAGGATCTTTCTTAGAGAGGTGATCCATTCTGTCACAAAAATAAAGGAAATACTGGCAAAACAATTAAAATTAAACATTTCAGAAGTTTGTAAATTGACAGAACAATAGAAAACAAAAATAATGAATCACCACTACATGTTGCAACATAGGTGAACCTTGAAAGTATTATATGAAGTGATAGAAAGCCCCTCATAAAACCACTTTCCATTTATATAAGACGTTCAGAATAGGCAATTATGTTGAAACAGAAAATATATTATTGGTTTCCTGGAACCAGGGGTTGGTAGTGGGTATGAGAATATGTGGTGATGTATGGTGTCTGCTAATGTGTATCAGTTCAGTTCAGTCACTCAGTTGTGTCTAGCTCTTTGTGACCCCATGGACCGCAACATGCCAGGCTTCCCTGTCCATCACCAACTCCTAGAGCTTGCTCAAACTCATGTCCATCGAGTTGGTGATGCCATCCAACTATCTCATCCTCTGTCGTCCCCTTCTCTTTCTGCCTTCAACCTTTTCTAGCATCTAGTGAGTCAGTTCTCTAGTGAGTCAGTTCTTCAATACATCAGGTGGCCAAAGTATTGGAGTTTCAGCTACAGCATAAGTCCTTCCAATGAATATTCAGGACTGATTTCCTTTAGGATTTACTGGTTTGATCTTGCTGCCAAGGGCCTCTCAAGAGTCTTCTCAAATTAATGTGTATAGAGTTTCATTTTGGAAAGAGGCAATGTTCTAAAATTAGAACTGGGTGATAGTTGCACATCTCTGTGAATAGGATGTTTTTAAATTATATTGCATAGTTTAAATAAATGTGCTATATCATATGAAAAATGCATGTCAATAAAACTGTTAAAAAAGAGAAAAGCAAGATGATATCCCTAAACTAGGACCTTAAGAACTTTATCACATAACACAAAAAGATATGAATATTTATATGGGTATGAATATGCATATTCCAGCTTCAAGATGTGGAATGGATTGTCTACTGGAATGCAGATCTGATTTCCATAGTGCCCGTATATAGTCATTGGATATTAATCCCTTGGCCACACTGACTGTTCTTTCTTCAGTAGCCCTGATGTCAAGGCACTGATTGTTTTTGTGGTTGCTTCAGTCTGGATCTGAACCTTCCAGTCCTTACCCATAAGGTATTGTACTGCTCTTATCTGTGTAGTTAGTTAGCCCAACTCTGTTCTCCACTGAGATTCTTTTGAAATAATGCTTATTGCTTTATTTATAATGCTTATTACTTTATTAATAATGCTTGAAAGTAGTATTTCCAGAATTATTTGTGCCTATCCCTAGGCAATATAAGTAATAAAATAGAATTATGGATTTATAGAATGTTAAGGATTGATATTTTACATTCCAGATACAATGATTTTGCAGAAAATATTGTATAAAAAGTCAGTATGTGTTTGTGAAAAAAAATTGGATCACACAAAAATGAAATCGTTTTTTCCTTGTGGACTCAATAGTCATTTAAATGTATTGAAGTGGGCCGCGTGGGTGAGCCGTGCGCAGCGGCGTGTGCGGGGCCGTGTGCAGACCCGCGTGTGGCGCAGGCAGGGACCCTGAAAATAAGCAGCCGCCGCTTCGCGAGCCGTCCTCCCGGTCTGCGCCTGAGTCTCAGCCGCTGCGGGCCCCTGCGACGCGGAAGATCTGACTGCAGCCATGAGCAGCAATAAGTGCTTCAAGTGTGGACGGTCTGGCCACTGGGCCCGGGAGTGCCCCGCTGGCGGGGGCCGCGGTCGTGGGATGAGAAGCCGTGGCAGAGTTTCCAGTTTGTTTCCTCGGTAACAGGCATCTGTTACCGCTGTGGTGAGTCTGGTCACCTTGCCAAGGACTGTGACCTTCAGGAGGATGCCTGCTATAACTGCGGCCGAGGCGGCCACATCGCCAAGGACTGCAAGGAGCCCAAGCGGGAGCGGGAGCAGTGCGGCTACAACTGCGGCAAGCCCGGCCACCTGGCCCGCGACTGCGACCACGCGGACGAGCAGAAGTGCTACTCCTGCGGCGAGTTCGGGCACATCCAGAAAGACTGCACCAAAGTGAAGTGCTACCGATGTGGCGAGACTGGTCACGTAGCCATCAACTGCAGCAAGACGAGTGAACTCAACTGTTACCGCTGTGGCGAGTCGGGGCACCTGGCACGGGAATGCACGATCGAGGCCACAGCTTAATTACTTTCCTTTGTCGCCCCTCCTTTTCTGATTGATGGTTGTATTATTTTCTCTGAATCCTCTTCACTGGCCGAAGGTTGGCAGATAGAGGCTACTCCCAGGCCAGTGAGCTTTACTTGCCGTGTAAAAGGAGGAAAGGGGCGGAAAAAAAAATCGACTTTCTGCATTTAACTACAAAAAGAAGTTTATGTTTAGTTTGGTAGAGGTGTTAATGTATAATGCTTTGTTAAAGAATCCCCTTTCTGCGCCACTGGTGAATAGGGATTGATGAATGGGAAGAGTTGAGTCAGACCAGGAAGCCCGTTCTGGGTTTCTCGAATATGTTCCCATGTAGGAGGTAAAACCAATCCTGGAAGTGTCTGCGAGCTTCCATAAATAACTTTAATTTTAGCATAATGACTGCCTTGGATTGTCTGACCTCAGTAGCTATTAAATAACATCAAGTAACATCTGTATCAGGCCCTACATAGAACATACAGTTGAGTGGGAGTAAACAAAATAAAAAGACAAGCATGTGTGTTGATGGCTGTGCGAGAACACGGGATAAAAGCCTGAGCAGGAGCAGCCTCACCACAGCGTCGACGCTGGGTAAATAGACGGTGATGGCAATGGTGTAGAACACACGTTTTCAAAGACTAAATCTAAAACCCAGAGTAAAACATCTATGCTCAGAGTTAGCATAATTAGGAGCTATTCAGGAATTGCAGAGAAATACATTTTCACAGAAATCAAGATGCTATTTTTGTATACTATATCACTTAGACAACTGTGTTTCATTTGTTGTAATCAGTTTTTAAAAGTCAGATGGAAAAAGCAACTGAAGTCCTAGAAAATAGAAATGTAATTTTAAACTATCCAATAAAGCTGGAGGAGGAAGGGGAGTTTGACTAAAATAAATAAATAAATAGATGTATTGAAGTGAGTTGTGATTCTTAAAAAGGAAAATATGGTAGTTTCCTAAATATGTTTGAACACAGTAACCCTCTAATGAATATCAACATTAATATCAGCATGTGCATCAACATTCTCAGACATTATAAGGCACTTTTGCAAACTGAAGAAACAATTTTTTTTTCTAGTAAGTTGTATACATAATGAATTCAAGAGCCACAAATTCCATAATATCTAAGAGGGCATTTATGCATTCATGACTTCAATTTAATATTAATATTATGTTCAACATTGAATTATTTAATTTTATTTTTATAACAATAATACATATGTGGGCTTCCCAAGTGACTCAGTGGTAAAGAATCCACCTGCCAATGCGGAAGTCATGGGTTTGGTCCCTGGATTGGGAAGATCCCCTGGAGAAGGAAATGACAACCCAATCCTTATTCCTACTTGGGAAATCCCTATGGATAGAGGAAACTTGTGGGCTACAGTCCATGTGGGATCAGAGTGGGACATGATTTAGTGACTAAACAACAACAACAATGCATATACATTACTCATTTATAAAAAGTAAAATTATAAAAATAGGCGTACCAACAGCTACTTTCTCATTCTCTTTACCAGTTCATCCCTACTATTTAATAGCAACTACTAGCAGTTATGTTACTTCTTTATTCTACTTTAATATTTCTAAAATGCATGCTATATTCCTATCTTGCTCTTAACTTTTCCTAAAATATGCTTTTTTATGTTGACTTCTCTCTCACTTTCACTCTCAAGCATTCGGTTCTTCTGTTGGGGAGATTGTAATTTCCTCGGTTCTGTCTTGTCACAACAAAAATTTGAAGCGATGGATGGGCCAGTGTTACAGCTCTGTGTTACAGCTCAGTTTTATATAGAAAGTAAAGGAAAATAGACCTTCAAGGCGTGAGGGCATGCTGACCCAAGAAATGCAAAGAGAAGAGAGGTCCCCAGCCCAATTTGGCTCCTCTTTTTATGTATTTTTTTCTCCTCCCCTGGGCCTGCCCTGTGTAAATTGGGCTAGCTAGGAGTGCTGTTTGCTTTACCTGAGGTCCTCACTCCAGTCTTTGGACCTTCCTTTGTTCTATTTTCACGGGTTTTTCCCTTCTTTGTCTTTTAGCCACAGCCATTTTGGACTCCTTTATCCTATTCTACCTACCTAACACTTCCCTCACATATTATTATTATTATTATTGTTACATTTCAATTTGTTGTCAAATATCCTTTGCCTATATTATTATGATTATGCAAATTCTGCTTATTGCTGAGTGAAAGTGAAAGTCACTTAGTCTTGTCTGACTCTCTGTAACCCCATGAATTATCCAGTCCGTGGAATTCTCCAGGTCAGAATACTGAAGTGGGTAGCCTTTCCCTTCCCCAGGGGATCTTCCCAACCCAGGGATCAAACCTGGGTCTCCTGCATTACAGGCAGATTCTTTACCAGCTGAGCTATAAGATTCCATTTTCTCTCTTGTGGATCTTTTTGCTTATATTACAATTAAGTTTGTGTATTGGTGTATGTGTGTGTGTGTGTCTTGCATAATTTTATATGTACTCTTTTCCTATTTATTAAAAGCATTCAAGCTGAGTTGGAAAATTTCTCTCAATATATTTGAACATCCTTTATTCCATAAATCTTTCTTAGCCTTCTGTCAGTCCTTATCATTTTCTGTAGAACACCAGGTTGATAAGCACTTGGTCTGTTTTTCCAAATATTGCAGGTAATAGTTATACAAAATAATTTGCCCAATATGCATCAAACAATTTCCACATAGGGATTCATGGACCCAGGCTCCTTCCAACTTTTTGCTCTCATCTTTAATTACAAGACCTGAAAAATCACTCCTAAATGAAAACAGGGAATGGAGAGCCCTGAAATGAAATGTTCTCTAAGCCAAAAAGTGTATGTATCATTTACATGTCCATTCTGTTTGATACAGCCCAGTCTTCTGGTTTAGCCAAACTATAAGAGAGTAGAAAATTATATTAGATGGGCTTCTAAGAGGTAGGAAAACAGTTGTGAGCAAAGCCTAGCCTTCTTAGTCACGCTGAATTTCAATGATTAAAGAGAACAATGCAAGCATTCCAGAAGACTAAGCAAGTAATTTAGAAGGTGGTTGTGAGGAATCCTTGATCTTCTTCAGTGCTATAATTTAAACCAGAAAACAGTGAAACAACCTCTGTAGTTTCACATATAAGAGAGAGTGTGACACAAGAATTTCATAATAAACTGAAATTAAGTTGTAAACCAAGACACATTTGCAAGTACACAAAGACTACAAATTCTCTGATTTACTCTTTTGGCAAAAATCCATTTGAAGATGCCTACTAACTAATTAAAGATGAATTAAAATAAGGAATTCACAAAATAGACTAGAAATAAGAAATAAAATACCAACAATGGGTGGGGCACCAATTAAATGTGTAACTAAATTATTTAAATTAATATAGTTATTAACTAACAAATTTTCTCTTGCTAATTAAATATAATGATATTATGTAATAATATCACTTGTTAAAATATTAAACCCAGATAAAAAAATCACAAAAATATGAAAAAAGATATTAGGGGTTTTGAAAGGAAGGAAAAATGTAGTGATGGTGTACCATTTTTCTTATTCACATGGGATCAACAAATTGGATTTAGACACTTGCATGTGGAAAACAGGTCTAAGAATACTATACAATGTTAAATGTGTTAGCATTTCCAGAACTGATGAAAACAATGTTTTCAGTAAATCAGGCAGCGTTGTAAAAAACAAACAAAAAAACCCAACTTATATCTAATATAGAATATAGGAATCTATTGAAGTAAAATATATTTTTACAAAAAGGAAATAGAAATCTGTTGTAAATATTTATTCTTTATAATAATATAATACAGATAATATATCTCAAAGTCAATTAAACCAATTGAACATGTTTGCTTTTAACAGAAAAAATAAACTCATATGATGAAAGATAAACAGAAATTTAACTCAGAGCCCTACTTGGAACAAAGTGCCTCAAAATGTTGAAGTTGTACAATGGACAATGTTCAACCTTGAAATGCAAAATCAAGAAAAACAAATCAAGCTTTAAAATAAGAAATATTTGAATTCAAAGAGAAGGGAAAGTTTATGAGGACAAAGTTACTTTATACTAGTAGAAAATATGATAGACCATGAATGTAACTTTTTCTGATTATATGGCAAATACATTCTGTATGCTTGCATTCTCAGTTGTGTTCAATTCTTTGCAACCCCATGGACAGTAGCCCACTAGGCTTTTCTGTCCATGGGAATTCCCAGGCAAGAATACTGGAATGGGGTGCCATTTCCTCCTCCAGGGAGCTTTCCTGAAGGCATCAAGCTTGCAACTCCTGCATTGGCAGGCAGATTCTTTACCACTGCACCACTGGAAAGCCCCAAATATATGTTACATACCAAATATTTACATAAATAGTTTTCAAGTGTAAATGAAATAAAAGCTAAATGAAATAGCAAGTTAAAATAAGACTTGATTCTAATTTGCCTCCTTCAATGTTTAATGGATTCAGAAATAAAAAATAGTAACACTATAAAGTGCCTATTTGTTTACTTTGTATATTTTTTTTAGCTTTTACACTGTGTTCAGTAGTGTACTATGTCAGGATGATGCAGTATTTTATTTCATGGACTGTATTGTTGAACTGGGGTGATGATCATTAATAAGTGACAAATCATAGTGTATACTTTCAAAATGATATAAGAGCCAAAGAAGAATGGAACCTAGTTAAATAAGAACAAATAACAAAAGCACCTGACTCAGAATACAGAGTCTCAGAAATGCTTTTGTTTATATCTGAAAGACGAGTAGTAACTGAAGGGAAAAGATGAAGACTCTTTACAGTCAGAAAGAAAGAAGTGCAGGTATAAGCTCCCAGGGTGGAACAAACATAAAAATATATCTGAGGACCAGCAAACAAATCTGAGGAGCTGATGGAAGATTGGAGTAAAGTGAGTTATCAGATAAGGCAGCAAAGTGAGCAAGAAACAGCAAGTGAAGCCTCATAGTTCTTATTAAATTAGTTTTGCCTTTATCCTCAGAGCCATGAAGAACTTGAA